TTACCTTTTAAGGACAAAAATTAGTCTAGTTTTTTTAACTCAACTTTCTTCCAGTTCACTGACTAAATCATCTACTTAAGAGACAAACCTTACTGAATCGCTTTAGCATTTTATCATTTGAAATTAATTAATTAATTAGTACCCAAGAAGTAATAAATATTCACGAAGTTTTGAAATATTAAAAATTCTCCATCACTCTAGATCAATTCATTGGGACTGATTAGGGCACAATTTAACCCAGAATTTTCATTTTTGTTTTTTTTCGTATTCTTAAAAAGGGTTTGCTAAGCTCTGGTAAACGCTCATTTTGCATATGATAAGGGTTTGAATTTGTGGCCTTATTAAAACACTCAATATAAAATTCTATTTTTACCTATCTTGTCCGATAATACTTAAAATAAATGCCACAATAGTTACTTTGTTTCAAATGGCAAACACCTATTGCTGAAGGGAAATACATCACGGATTCTTTCATTTAAATATTAATTTTATGTTAGAATATAAGTGGTAACGCAATCAATTCAATCTAATACTCCCTATTACTAGACATCAATCATAACTATGTGAATGATAATCGATTGAGAATTCAGCCATAATCCGCCTTTTCACCTCAGGAGAAATAAAATTAGTACTTAAAGACACGCAGTTAAAAAGACATTTACAAATATTCAAATATTACAAAAGTACGAGACTCTGATAAGAGGTCCAAAACTCACGTCTCCTTGTTTCTTTATATGTCTTTTCCAAATCCATGTTGCTACCTTTAGACGCCGAAAAATGATTTGGTAACACCCCTTAAGCCTGTCACTTATTCAATATTCAAAGGCGTTTAAAATTCTCATGACACCATTGGAGGCCTCCTAAAGGAGACAAATTCACAACAAACGCACTTATGCGTTGTCATGATCCCATTGAGCTCAAGTTGGTTCCTTGTGGGCGTACTCAAAGCAACCTATCAGGGATTCGCCTTTAGCACACTTTAAAAATAACTCATAAAATGTTGGTCTTTAGTGGCTCACAAACTTCTAAAGTAATTTAATCCAATTATGAGGAGTGATACCAGCATTAAGTTGTAATTTATTTCATCCTATTTAATTTCATTTCTTTGTCGATTATTGAATTAAATTTATTATTACTTAGACATTTATTTCATATAGTAGCCTTTTCTGCTTTGCTTCAAAGTTCAATAGTACTTATAACTGCCCGTTTGAGGTCTTGGGTGAATAAATTGCAAGAAAGTAGTAAAGTACAGAAAGTTTATTGCAAATTTTGAATGAGATTATATTTACGAAGAATGAAGACAATGAAAACTAAGTATATAAATCAGGCGAAGTGAAATTTCGGGGTATTAAAGCCGAATTAAATTAAATTAATTTCAACTGAATTCATGAGAATGGTACTTTCAACCCCCAACCCTCCCCTCCCCCACTCCTCTCTGGCGGTCATACTTGTCCAAAACTAAGGTTTGCCTAAAACTAAACTTAAAGCTAAACGGCATTTCTCACAAGCCAATTCGTTTATTTCAATCACCAATCTTCAGGAAATATCAGATTTGAGAGTTACGTGTCTTTTCACCGGAAGTAAATCTTTATCTTTACTGCTGTATAACATATACCAACAGACAACTTGTGATGCTATAAATGGCGAACGGATATGAAACCACTGCAAATTTGCATGGTCCAAGTTGTATATGGTTCTTCGTTTGGCAAATATATCTAACAGTCTAGAGTCCAAATGATAGAAAATTCTGTAGGTGTGACAAAGCATAAAAATATATATTTCCTAGATTTAAATATTTTATCGTACTTACGTGAATGCCAATTAAAAGTCTACAAAGCTTAGAACATCACTTCATGATAGGATAGAAGTGAGACCGCCTACTAAATAGAGCCAAATATGTAGGCCATAGATTTAATCCAATTAATCGGAATGGTTTCTCAAATAAATGGCTCTTCTTTTTATAAAGTCAAATTGGTTTACTATTTGGTCATGTTAAATATGTCGCAGAGCAAGCTAGTTTCAACGAAATGAGTGGCACCTATCTAAACTTCCAAACATCTCATTCTGTTTTCTAACATATTCTAGATTCTGGAGTTTTCATATTTCCAGAAGCCGAACGTAGAAAAGTTGTCCATTTCGTTTGACAAATCATAATATGCATTGAAAAATATTTGCATTTACTGCTAAAATTTACTTGTATCAATGGAGAAATTTCCAAATGAAATTTATAAAATTACAATACATTATCATAGTTGGCTATTTTAATGCCCAAATTTATTGCCTTAAAGCATGGAATGGAGAAGAAAGTAGTATTTGAATTTTAAAATTGAAATATCAAAACTTCTGCCTCGCGAGTCATTGACATTGGTTAATTTCATAGTAATCTCATCTACAATATTTAAATCGGGGTGTGCGATAGACTTACCTTCACGTGGTGCACCCTGGGCAACGTATACTCGTACGGCAAAAAGTCTATTAACTGGCAGTTGACTTCTGGCTTCTAACTACCATCACCCCACTATATGCCATATTTGACTACTTTCACAGTACTCACCTCACCTTTTTCTACTTTCGTCTTTGAAACACTTTTATGTTCCCTCCCCCCTCTCGACTTTCTTTCACTTTGATGTTCCTTCCCCTCTATGAAGCCTGAAGTCAACTAAAGAGCTAATGATAACCGTCAAAACGCCTGCCATTTGATATTATTATTTCAAGTTGCAGGCGTTTTGAATAGTCATCATTAGCCATTTAGCTGACTTCGGGCTTCACAGAAGGAGGAAAATCAAAGTGAGACAAATTCGAGAGGGGGAGCAAAAGAGTGATTTACAGATGTAGAAGAGACAGACAGACACAAAGGTAGGGACAGAGGTGAGGTGAGTACCGTGAAAGTCTGATATAAATAAATATTTAAATCTTCACATTTATCAATATATTTTTATTGATCTAATTTATAATTCAATGTACTACACGTAATTGACTCCCAGGGACAATAATCCAGCAGAGAATGTGGTGGTACGTTTCTCCCTCAGTGTTTTCGCAAGTGTAAACAACTGGTAACTTTCACTTCAGGTGCCATGTTAGCACACTTGAATTTAATAAATGCACATTCAAAATCACACAATGTCACGTAATAAATATGTGCAAGGTCAACTTAATTTAAATTCTCCATAAGTATGGACAGTTGTTTAAAGGTGCACTTCGTATAATGTGATAAATAGTGCGGTATAAGTGAGCTGAAACAACCTTTGACATTTAAATTGTGATTGTATAGATGCTTGTATTGTTTTGTGGTGGTTTACATAAATTGAATCTGAAAAATCTTCATTTCTAACCAATAACCATTATTGATTGAAACAAATTTTTCATATATATTGGAAATAATTTGTAAACGAGACAATATTTAGCTAACATTATACATATAATTACATACCATTCACAGGTGATAAGGTAAACAGGCATGATGGTGACTGGTAGGGTTGACGAATTCTCAAAGCACTTTGTATATGGTCATTTTAATTAGTAACTAAAATCCAAATTCATAGATTTTGAAGGCTTGCATTGCCAAGCAAGGTGGCAATAAAAAAGGAAAAGGTTAGAAAGGAAGTCTATCTTCCAAAACTACCCAAGATTACATAACTGGTTCTTAGCAAAATTTTTACTAAATAATGCTCTCTTAACTTTATTGATTTCAACCCAAAGGCTGGATTTATTAACCATGCTTTGAAATAAACGAATTCTTAGAAATATTTTCTAAACTTATCAGAAATAGGAATTGTTGCTTTCTTAGAGAAATAGAGGTTCTTTCATTATGTTTGAAGAATAAGGAATCAGTTAAGCATTAGATAAGGATGTAATTTCCGAGTTCACTAAGGGAAAGGGGTTTTTAGTGCTCATCTAGAGAAGAGTAATAGTAAACTGGAGCCATTATTGTGAGAAGCTCACATGACGTGCACACATGTAGCTTACCTCGCCACACGAGTACAAATTATTAACAAGAATAATATATAAATCCCGTGGAAAATAGGTGGTCAAAGAACTTCGATTGATTCGCGGATTTGGGAGGAATATTGGGGTCGGAAAGAGAAGATCAAGATTTCATTAACAGTCTCATGATATCTTTAGCCATTATTCTCTAAAGCCAGGCACTTTCTAAGTGGTATGTGCAATTATCAGTTTTGCAGACTTATGACTTTGACAATCATTAACCCTACAGAAAGTCGATATTTTAAACTAATAGACAAATGACAGCTTGGTTTGAAAGACATGCAAGTATTTTTCCTTTAGTTAATGAAAAGACTAAAATTAAGTTTACTTTCAAAATGGCCTTCTCAATAATTGAAAATTAATACAATTCATCTGCAGAAACTTAGCTTCAATTTTGGTCATTGATCTATAAAATTGGTACTTTGTAAAGAAATTTCTTAAGAAAGGCTATTGATCAGCTGAGGGGTCATATGACATGGCAAGATGAATTTCAAATCAAAAGCACTTCACAACGACCAATAAATGTTTATTGTTATTATCGTAGGGATATTTTCGATCGTTTAAATATAGTGAATATAGTAAATATAATAACGAATTTGAGATTTCAAACAACTAAATGTTCGCCGTTTTATTAACAGAAATAGATTAGCTCAAAGCTGGGATACATTTCAAAGGATTAAAGGCCACACACCGATTTACTCATTAGTAATCATTATTTGCTTTGCTCAAAACAGCACTCGTTGTTATTAACAAGGTATAATATTTCCACCATTTCAGTGAATTGCAAATCTTTCTCTTTGTTCTAATTAAACTTCTAATTATTGCTGCATACTACCGGCAAAAAAGTTACAAATTTGATTTCAAAGTTCTGCCAAATTCAAATATTTATTCAAATATGGTTGGCGATGAACTGGATTGTGTCGATATAACTTGAATGACACATTAACTTTGAATCTTAATTATTCACATAATTAACAAATGAAAAAATTGTCAAGAAGTTAAGGAAAATTACTCACCTTTATCACGAAAGTTGTTTCGAAGTTCATCCAATTGGGAAACATCTGAGAGAAGAAGAGATAACACTGGATCCAGTTCGGCCGTCTTTGACGGTTCAATTGGGACTTTTGGAACTGGACGTTTAACAGGGCTATTCTGAGTCAAAGGTAAGTTGCTGTAATTATTTCCCTTCGCCGAAGTGGCAGGTTCATTCAATTGTCCTGTGACCATATAATCATTTAGGGTTTGTCCGCTCCTTGTCTGCTGAGAATTCTTGGCCATCTCTACTTTCCGATTCCGTGTACTCTCCCCAGAATGATCAGTGAACCTTCCTAGAAAACTACCTGTTCGATAATTGATTCGACCTGTTTCTCCGAGGTCTATCGAATCGTTTTTTAGGGTGTCACCGAGATTGTTATGGTCAGCGTGAAAAAGATGATTCGAAGTGGCAAGAATGGGGACATTTGAGGATTGATCTGTGACTTCCTGATTTGTAGTCCTTTGGCGTAACCTCGCCATACTGTAAGTTGATGTAGGAATAAGACCGCGTGTTTCCGATACACACCGATTCGTAAATCCAGAAATTGATACTTGACTCAAATTATCGATCGAAAAGTTCGATTCCGTTTTATCTGATATGTCCTTAAACTGTAGAGTTGAATGCCTAATAACTGCAGGACCCACTGCTTTGCGTGGAAGAGGAACCGATTGAGGACAAATTAACAGATTTTGTTCTGTTTCTGCGAATTCGTACTCATTTTCCGGGTTATCGTGGGGTACAGAGAATGTCTAGAGGGTAAATGAAAAGAAATTAACGATTGATATTAGTTTACGATATGGAATTTGCTTCATTTGAAAGATAGCGTAGACGCGAGAACTAGGCTTGTGCAGAATTTACCTCTAATTGTTGAGAGGCCCATGTGATTGGTTGACAGCACGATCGTTCTGATTGGTCTGACGTCAGTAGTAATAGAACAGGTCTGATCTTGTAAACAATTGAGCCAATTTTGTAATATGTGTGTGCGTGCTAACTAAGCACATGTGGATGTAGGCTCCATTCTCATGGACTCGAGATGTGTAAATACTACTTAAATTTTCTTTTAGTCGACAAAAGCACCTCTTTATTTAACCCAGACGAAACTCGATTCACTTGCTAAATAATTTAGTTGAAATCAGCTAATTATCCACGTTGCATTTTACACTCTTATTTAGCGATCAATATTTATCGGTTTTCTTCCTAGCATGAATAATTAACGCCCTAAACTGAGCGATAAATTTCACACAGCCTTGTAATTTAATTAACACCATATTTATTGTGTCCAACAAAAATTTCCCAGCTTATCAATTAATAATAAAATTAATAAACCAGGCTTACAGAGTCATGATGTAACCACTTTTTTTCAGGTATATCGCGTTGGTACAATGGGGAGAAATTATTAACTTCTTTCTTGCATTGTTTGTTCAAATAGGATGATAATGAAACCGTGTGAGCTTCTTTATATCTAACACAAAGAAAAGAACAGACATGAAAAATAAAATCACTCAAGACAAAATTATTTTATCATAACTCACTTTTTGGGGTATTTCGATAGTCGGTCTGTTACTATGGAATCGTGTCCATTCGAAAATGAATGTCCTCTTTGAATACTTGAAAAGACTCGTTGTTCCGGCCATCGATTGTTATGAATGCGCCAATTTATGATTTTGGAATCGTTTAAGTCTCTGGCATTGCCCTCGTGGACTGTGTAATCTAGCCTCATTGGAACCTCATTATGAATGTTTGCTTCCCTGTCTGCTTTTCTTGAATTTCCACTTTCTAAATAGAAGGAATGGTTTTCTCGACTTACAACTTGATTATTTTGATTCTATGCCTTGAAGCAGGTATATTTGCAGTCGCATTCGACCTTAAGCGGTTCAAATATTTTTTTATATTTAAAAAATCGCAATTTCAATCGAACAGATTACTATAGGTGCCGAAACCATCTGTACTTGACCGAATTCTCCCATTCGAATTCCTTTCAAATATTTGTGCTTAGGAAAATTTTCTTTGCTTCTTTGGTATTTTCTGTACAAAGCTTTATGTTAATCAGTGAAAATTTAAGTTTAATGTGCTTCTCCAACTAAATAAGTGAACTTTATTTTTTTAATTTTTGCGTGACAAAGTTTAAAAAATCCAGTTTTTCTTCACAAAATAATTTAAAAATATATTTAGAGATGCCAAATGTAGATTATTTGGAGAAATTGTTTACTGCAAACGGGAATTTTGTAATTAAAGACTGACTGCATTTTGAATGTGTAATTAACATTCTTTAACTCGCACATGCTATAGTAACTTAAACGAAAATTGGATCAAAACCCCTTCTGATTATAAAATTTATACAGGTTCTTTCATTACTAAATTTTCTTCAATTATAATAGTCATCAGTCTGTTCGGCTGGCTGTAAAACAGCTACGTAGTTTGTAGAATAAAGATCATACAATCATATTACTAAAGGAACATGATACGCTTATATAACTAAACGTTTTATTGTTATTTTCTTACTAATACAAATCAACATCAACTTTCAAACGCATGAGAAATTAAAATCACTTGTCCAAACTTTCAGTGCTTAGACTTTTTGTAAATGAAAGTTCTTCCAACTTGATGATTTTGAAATTCAAAGGAAATATGACCATCTCTTTCCTCCGTTTTTATCTTCCTTGGAAAATGTTAACATTCAAATGAGATCTGTAACATTTGAATAGTTTAAGGTAGTATCATCCTACTAAATTTAGTCATCAGATTTAAAATTCAGCCAACTTTTACTAACCACTGCAAATCTATTTAAACCAATCTACTCCTGTTTGCGCTTTTCTCTGGTCACACAAAACTTGGCTAAACGCAATTAAATTAGGGTATAAATGTAAATTCTATAGCTATTTAAATGAGCGGTTCAAACTCAACTTTCAAAAAATTTAAGAATTCTTTAGAATGAAGAATATTTAAAAGCAACTGGAGCAACGGAAGAACCTTGGTTTCAAATTTATTTTTCTCGTCTCCCTCGGTAATGCTATTCTGAAAGTTGGTGAAGTAGTTATTAGCGCATACGTCTGTCAAGCTAGTGATCAACTTGTCTATTCCCAGTAAACAAGTTGGTTAATAGCATTGTTTTAAATAAAAGGATGGCCGATAGAAACTCCAGAATGCTATTTTTGAAACAACTCAAATATCTAAATGCCTGGTAATTTATCTCTAAATTCTCAAGGCCCTTTACAAGATTAAACGGAATTAATTAGCGTGCAGCCTAATCCAATACGTGAATCCCGACTACAAAACTGCCTTGATTAAATTTATGATTTAGATTATTACAACAGAAAGAATATATACTTCTTGGAAAGGACAATAAATTGTTAATTATTGTGATTATCGGATTTTCTCCAGGGTACACTATGACTTACGATTGGTTGGCATTAATTCACTAATAATAATCACTGATTCCTGTTAGCTGAACTGAATGGCATATTTTCAAAGATACTGAATCGAATTCGATTTCCCTATATTATATTATCTCCTCATTATCCTCCTGTCGGCCAACGAAATTATTCCCACCATTTCAGTATAATAGGACTCAGACCATTTAAGCGGAGTTCATAAACAATAAACCACTTTCTCATTCCTTTTTTATTGGTCAGATTAGACTTGTGTGATAAGTCATTCCAAGCACTTCATTTTCGATCAATTTACCAGTGACCATATTTAAGAATTGTTATTAAAGAACCGTCCTTGAATGCAAAATACAGTCGATCTCTATCTACCTGTGATACATTTTGCCTATGGCATAGTAATCAGTGTCTGTTAAGTCAGAGATTAAGAGAAACATATACCCTCACTGACATTACTTATTTTCCTAAGTGAAATTCGCCATTCGCTATAATGGAAAAAGAAATACATGAGAAGTATAATAGACTAATATGGGTAAGTATGACTGCTACCATTTTTGCAATTTAGCTCAATAGGCAGATCATGTTATTCTTGGGACATTTCTTCCACCGATAACTGGATTATTTTTAAAATTTTCACTCCGCTTTTGTTCCAATTATCTTCTTATATCAACATTCAAATTAACTCCGTTCTACAACATTATGGTTATTTGATCATTTTACAGCTTTAAATTGTTTACATTGTATTTTCCGAATGCTGTAAAAGTCAGCTGGAACAATATTGGATTTTTGTTATAAACAAAACTATGAAACAATCATTAAAATCTCGCATTAATTTATAATATACAAGCTAGGAATTGGCGAGTTCATCTTAATCTTAATGCATTATTTTGAAGTAAGTAGGCTAAATGTACAAAAAATATTGTTGATTAATTTACCATAATGAGGAGAGTAATTTGTTCGAAGAGTTGGCGAGGGTATTACTTTCAACTCATCGTCAACCTAAAAGACGGAAACAAGAGGCTGTTATTTTTCATGCTGAGGAGTGTTCATTACCAAACACTTTAAACGAATAGCGCACAATGCATGTTAATTGTTTTGCGAACAAAGGGAAGGAAGGAAGGAATAATTTGAAACACCACAATTGTGCATGCTTAAACTCAATGATAGTTAGCACAAATTATCTTAAACTGTCCGTAGCATACGCGATTTGAGCAAAATAATGCAAATGAAGAACAATCACCGTTATAGGATCTAAAAGTACATTTTATAACGATTACCGTTTTTGTGAAGGCTCGAATGCCGAATCGTGGATGAAATTGAGTTTGAGAAAGGAGGTCTGTCTTTCGCATTTACACGAATTGCAGATTAGGTTAAAACAGATTTTGACGAAATTTAAGGTGGAAGGATTCATTCCACATTTACAAGTCATCGAATTGGAAGTAAAGTTAACTTCTCCTTTACTTCCCCATGAATGATATTTTCGCTTCCAATGATCCAACATAAACTAAAATTAGGCTTACTGTAAATTATTGAAAGCTGCATTTGTCCTCATTTTCCGACAGTTATTTCCACATCAAATTGCTATTGCTTCTCTTAGCAGACCTTTCGATATAATTTTATCTTAGTTACCGTTGTAGGTTGCGGAATTAAAATAAACCTTTGATGATTATTATGAATAAACCGGCCTTTTACGAGCAGTTGTTAAAAGAACATAACATTACTAAATTTCAACTAGTAAACGTGCAGTCTTCAATGTTATAAAGCAGTTGGCGTTATTGGATAGTATTTTTACATTCATAAATTTGTGCGGTTTAATAATACTTATGAACTAGATTTACAAATCAACAGTATGCATTATTCTTATATTTGGCGAAGTAATTTGTGAGGTATTTTAATGTATGGTACTTATTACTTTTGAGTAGAGATGGTACGGTTACTATTTTTATTTAAAGACTGAGGAAATGCTGTTTAGCAATTCATACGTTTATTGTTATCTCACTAATTTAATTAAATTTTAGCCAAATAAGGCTTGCTTAAATTAACCACAGCTTAATTCTAACTTAGCTTATCAGAGAAGCCGTTTAATCGTCAGTCAATGAATTTAGCGAATTATGTACGGTGTTTTTTGCAATTGTAAGATGATCCAGAATTTAAAGATTCTCTTGAAAGTGAAAAATACATGTTAATTTTATCTGCAGTGCTTGAAGTAACTAAGAGCCTTAGATTTTAATTCAGTACAGATTACCTTCTTCAAAATAACCGAAGGATTAATTTGAAATGGAAAAATATTTCCTCGAAAATGACTAAGTTAAAAACAAATGCACCACGAACGAGCAGGTAATCGTGCTTTATTTTGAAGATCCTTGCAAAATAAAATAACGCACAGCACCTCTGAATAATATTCGAAAGAGAAACTCAAATAAAGTTTATGAATTCACAGATCGTGAAGCAAAGAAATGTAACAATTTTACATGCCGATAAATATAGTCATTGATAATAACAACAAAAGACGTTGGCTAGCTTTTAAATGCACTGGATAAGGAGATGTGGGGGGAGGTATAAGTTAATAAGTTCGGTTTTCAAGGGGAGATGTCCAAAGTGTCTCGTATTCTATCCTCATTGGTTGATGATTTCCATACGGCGTCTGTTTTCACTGTCAATGGTGTCCTTGCCTAAGTAAGAGGCGTCACTGATCAGTTATTTATCTCGGTTAATAAGGTCTTATTGTCATCGTTTTTCAAGCACAGGGTTCAGCTTAGAACAAGTGCGATTTTGTAAAATTTTCGTTTTTTAAACCGACTGATGAAAGCAAGTTTGACAAGGAGGCTTCAATATATCATATTCAGACATAAATGTTACCACAAAATATGTGTCTAATTGTTTTAGAAATGCTCGAAAATAGACTTTTCTGTAGATTTGGAAAGACACAGGATTATGAAAACGGCTGCATGTACAATTTTGGTCGGCAATTAAATCGATTGACATGATAAGTGTATGGCAGATAGCGAGTAAATAGGTGATTGGTGCAAAGTCTATGTGTAAAAACGAATATTAATGCTAGGTAATAGTTATTTCCAAAAAATCATCAACTTTATTATATTCTTTATAACCTACTCCTCATTGCAATGCACAACAGCGTGAAAAAAGCAAAATCATATCTATTAAGGGTTGCTTGAATAAAAAATGTTTCTGCATTTTTGGACATATCTGACTAGGTGTCTTAAAATACGAATTTTTGCTGTCAAGTTAAGTTGACTTAGGATTCATGTGAATTGCACAAGACAAGAAGCAATACCTTTGCTTCCAAGGACAACGAGTAACACAAAAGAATCTGTTGTTTCGCTGTGAATAAGGTAAAATGACAAAAATATGAGCTAATTATTGAATAGAAAAATTTGGAATTGAACTAACCTCTCATTAATTAGCAGAAAAGAAAAGTATAGAGGCGGTTAAATTGTACCTTTGTGATGTATTTCTTCGATCAACAAGTGTCAAGAGTGATTTAAATATATCTGTCTAATTCAAAAGCAATTATTTTATCCGTGTGGTTGGAGTGAGTGGGCTTGTACGTGTAGTCAACCTAAATTGTTTTGACCAACCGTCAATATTAATTAACTGACCACAAAAGGAAAAGATTTGAACATTAAAATATAAGAAAATGAAGTTCTAGATAACATATATGAAGTAAAATTCACACAACCTAGATCTAATGGTCAATAGTCCAATAAAATAATCAATTTCATTCCTAAGTGAGTATTTAATTCCTTTATCTTTCTTGAGTTTGAATTCTTTCTTTAGATGAAAAAGTGTAGCTGCTTTGCGGTTTCTTTTTTAATAATTACAAAACAAATATCTTTTTTATTTAAAATAGTCGACCTAAATGTAAGATTCAGTGAGGAAGATGAGCAACTTTATATACTATGTTTGCTAAAGAAAAATTAATGAACTATGTATAGTTGCTTTATCCAAATTGATGAATCTCCTTTGATTGGAGTCCTTTTTTGACAAATCTTTGACAAAATATTTATGTTAGAATCTTGTTGACTGAAAAGTAGCATTATATGCCATAGTTCCTATTTCCTACTATTGAGTTCGTGAGAATACGTACGCCTTGACCTGCTGTGTATGTAAGATTGAGAGACATCTTCAAAGTTACCTTCTTTATCATTGAGTGGTAAAAGGTTCGACGTTCAGCTGAAATACTTGAATTTTTCGCTTGCGATTATTCTAGTAAGTGAACAATATTGGGAAATTCCCTGCGAATTTCATCAATATGTTCGACTGTTTACCAAGGCGTAGTCTAAGAAGAGGATTTGTCTGTATTACTTCTACTGGGTTGAAACTGTGCACTGGTGGATGGCATGCAAGATCATTTTGTCCTATCTACCAGTGAATGGAAAAAAGAGGGAATTAAATTGGCAAGGCCAACCCTTCTCGATTAAAAGTAAGTCAATAAGCCCTGAACATAGAAAAAAAAGCAATTGCTGCAATTAAGGCGATGAATCATTAAAATCGAATTTTGAAGCATGAGATATCCATTTGCTTAATAATGTACACCCAGAAAACCAAAATTGAATGTGGCAGAGCTTTTCGATAACGCGATGTTGATTTCAACGCTTTATAGAGTTCCTCTCTCCTTTATCATTGACAAAGTTTGGTGATTGGCCAATTTCTATTGCTTCCACAAATTGAAATTTGTCATTTTTGTATTAACAATAATTGTATTACTGGTACTAAACCAGGCGTAAAAATGCAATTTAATAATAGCAGTTGGAAATTACCCTTTATGTAAGAAAATTGATGTTGATACGTAACTGAAAGAATATACACACAAACTGATGAAAAATCGTGGAAAGATGAGCCCCAACAACCTTGATGCCGTGATAACAGTCTAGCATTTATTCATCAAAAACCTTGCGAATTCGCATAATTGACAAAATGTAGTTGCCATGTTTAATACTATTTGAACGGAGCAGAAAATAATTTAAGTAATTTCCAAAATAGGTGTCCATAAACTTGGCAATTCGTCCATTTTAGATGAAAAAGAAGCTATACAATGCAACGATTATGGAGAGAATGGATTCGTCATCAATCTTCTAGTCAAAAGTCATATAATGGCGAGAAAAATTGTTTAGGGCTTAATTTGAGAGAGGCCGCTATAGCATTATACGATTTTATCTAAAGTGCTTTAAAATGTTTTAAATGCTTCATCTCGGGCCCTATTTTATATTATTATAAGGTTGTTGCGTATCTGACCATTTAACCTGTTAAACAACCGCCTTCCAAGTTTGAGAATTTTGTTTTTCGTCAAACGATTTTGAATGCGATTATAAAAAATCGCTTTTATGGGTTTAGTGTTCTTGAAAAATAAGTAGTTTCCTTTAAACTACTCAATAAATAGCTAATGTTCGATAAATTGAGGGAATATGTTCACTTGTTTGACCTTTATTAAGTGAGGTCGTAAATAGTTCACGACTGTAAAAGACAAAAGACTTTCAAATGGATGTTCCTCGGGAAAGAAAACATCAAAGTGCAATTTAGCCCACAACAGTGAAAGCCTAAAATCTCATTTAAGCGCATATCTTAAATGCATACTACGCATATATACAGAAAAAAGATTGCCATTTGCTTAAGTCTTACCCAAAAATTTTACAAAAATAGTTTTGACAACCATTTTTCTATATTTGGGAAGGCCTATTTGACATTTTCGGAGTATTAAAACCCAACTAGTGAACTCTGTACACAATTGTTGGAACATAGAAATGTGGGCTGGTAAGACTGATTCAAACTGTTATGGATATTGTGGGCATGATCCCGCGTGAAAGGCCCGGAGTCAAATTTTAAGGGTTGATTTATGGAACACTTGGATATTGCGAGGTAAATATTAGCCCTTTGTAAGAAAATTTGCTAAAAATGATTCCGAAATTCAAATAAAGTATGACATCTCAAATCAGCATAGTTACCTCTATTCCATCTTCAATTCACTCCACTGTAGAATATTTCCTCTACGATTCAGGACTTGAACTTACTGTGTTTATCTTAACCACCATGGGCAATAATAATGCCAGTTTTACTCATTTACCCCAGTCAAACGCTCTGTATATGTAAAAATGTTACTGAAATTCAAGAAATATCTACTTGCCTAACACATAATTTTGATACATATCTATTGAGGAAAGATAATATGATTCCACTATATGATAGAAGTAGGGTATTGTGATTTGAAAGTCTAACTAAGAATTGCTGACTATTCGGTGTCAAAAGTTGCAAGTCTCCGAAATCACCAATTCTTCATAAAATGTATCGATCTTTGGACACAGTGACACCGATCACTGTTTGTGCCTATTTA